CAGCTACCATCCAAACATTTCAGTGCAGTTGTGGTGTAAAATGCTGATTTTCTTCCAAAATGCCTATTTACTTATTTGTTTGCACATTGATTAATCAAAGTCATACCCTGCTTATATTCCAAAAGAATAGGAGGTGACTCCCAGACCCTATGGGACTTCTCAGAAACTCTGAATAATCATTACCTAGCACAGCTGTGGGGTCCTCAGATGGTTGTTAGTAGGCCGCCCTAATTGTACTCGCAATGTTGCAGGCAAAGATGGCTGTGTTCGTTAGCTAGATAAATACCTCTGTGACATTTGCAGTTAATAAAGTTCCTCTAGTTCCTTATGGAAAAGAACTGCAAAATATACTGTGGGTATATGTCCCACTGGCGGTGGGACTGTGTGAAGCAGGACAGAACCACATGACCTTGGGAACCCGATGGCCACATGGCAGCCTCCAGCGACCTTCGCAGCCTTTGCCTCCCTGTAGTGAGTCTTCGCACCCTGACTTCATTACTGACCTTGTTCTCTCCTGCTGCTACCCCTCCCTCCCCCTCTGACAGTGGCTTAGAGCTCAGGGTCACAGTAGGCCCAGACTAACACCTTGCCCAATTACTAAAAATTACCGTTGTTCTCTTTTTAAAGTATTGCCTGTGAAAGACATTATATAAAATGCAGATGTAAAACTACTCTCTAATTATTATGGACCCATTAACCAGATAGCTACTTTTTAGTAGAGGAAAAGGATCTAACTTGTTAAACTGTGACAAGGTAGATGGGAGGGTAGAAAGAAAGGGGATTAACTGGAAAAACCATCAGTATCTGAAGAGGGAGGCTTGCTCCTTAGGGACAATGGGCAGCCAGGAATATCAGAAGGGTGAATTACTTAACTTCTCTAAGCTTCAGTTTTTCTCATGTACAAATGAAGGTATTAATAGCACCATTACAGAACGTAATCTATGTAATGTATTTGGCATTATGCCTGACTCGTAAGAACTGAAAAAAATGTTAGAGATATTATTGTTGAGGTTATGTTAACAATAATGATAACTGTTATTAGTATCAGTAATAGCAGCAGTAATAGAAGCAGGAATAGTAGTAGCCTTGGTAGGGGTACTATACTGTGACTTGGGAAGGGTTGGATTAATGGAATGGATACAGAAATAAAATAAAAGTCTAGGGAACTAAATGAGAAAGTGGGGACAGGGGTGTCAATACCAATCCTTAGCTATGTCATAGCTTTGTCTGGGATTAGCCACAAAGGAGACATCTTGGCAAAGTGATTTAGAGCCAAACACATAGGGACTCAAACCTTGCCTCTGTCACTCGATAATGTGTGTGTGACTTTAGGGAAGTCACTAAACTTCTTGGAGTCTCAATGTAAAATGGGAGTAAAGTGGGGACCTTATTTGTAAAATGGGAGTAATCATACCTGTATGAAGATTATGCATGTAACATACTTAATGTACCCAATACTCAACAAATATGTTCCATCTTTCACCTGGCCAAGTTGTCTCCCCTCACACTGTGGTTGGCAGACTGCAAAAGGGGAAATCCATCTGGACAGGTGAGAAACAGGGGAATTAGCACTGTGGGCTCTTCGCTAAGAGAAGATGTCTCCACTTCCTTACATCCTCTTCCCACTGGGGGAGCTGATGGAATGTGCAGTAGGACTGCTAAATGTAAGAATTCGCAACCGTATTTAGTTACAGCAAGTAGTGGAGTAATTCTGAATTAACTGAAGGAACGTGCTATTGCAAGATGGAAGTCATCCATGAAAAGCAGCCCCATAATAGGTTTTCATAGAAATTTAACTCTGAACATTCTGACTTTGTATGTTAACATAAATAAAATATGAGAACATTATTCTGCTATAAAATTGAAGATAAGTTCTTTAAAATATATAAATGTAATGGTTACAAATATCTTCCCATCATAATTCTAAAATATCATTTGATCTGAGTTAATAGAAGCTATGTCATCTGTCATAGTTAAAACAAGTTTAGGAATCTTTCTCCATTTTATATGTTACTTTCCTTGATGAAACTTTAATTACATTGAAAACAAATCTTCAAAATCATCTCATTTCTATTCTCAATATATTGTTTTGATGACTTTAGTTTTTTCTTTTTCTTTTTCTAGAGTCACAGAATGTACTTCTTCTCATGCAAAGTCAGTCCCAAGACTTTTTTTTCTTTAGGTATTTTGAAGTAAAAAAAAATAAGTATTTTGACATTTTAAATGCATTTTTAGAAAACTCTCTTTCTGATTTATATTACTGTTCCTGATACTGATGTGTAGATCTATGTTATTAGTTACTAAAACATTTTCTATAATTATGTTGACACTTTCTGGTAGGATGCTCATACTTTACTATTTTTTCATTTACAGTTCTGAAATGAATCAGAGATAACCATTTTGAAGCATTTTCAAATTAAACAGCTGTTAAAGGGTTCTGGCTCTCTTGTTGCCTTCTTTGCCTATAATGCAGTATGATGCTCTGTACAAGAGGCTCTGAAGTAAAATATCCTCTCTCCCCACAGACTTTATAAAAAAGTGAACCCTAAGAATCCTGAAACACCAATTCAAATTAACTTAAGCACCCCAATGTTCACAGCAGCACAATTTACAATAGCCAAGTGCTACAGGCAACCTAAGTGCCCATCAGTAAATGGGTGAATCAAAAAACTATGGTACACTTCCACAATGGAATACTACACAGCAGAAATAAAGAAAGAGCTCCTACCCTTCATGACAGCATGGATGGAACTGGAGAGTATTATGCTAAGTTAAATAAGCCAGGCAATGAAAGATAAATACCATATGATCTCACCTCTAAGTGGAACCTAATTGACAAAACAAACAAGCAAACAAAATAGAACCAGAGACATCGAAATAAAGAACAAACTGACAGTAACCAGAGGGGATCAGGGAGAGGGATAATGGGGGGAAAATATGGGAAGGGTCATCAAGGAACATGTATAAAGGACACATGGACAAAGCCAAAGGGGAGTAGGATCGAGGGTGGGAGGTGGGGATTGGTGGGGTTGCTACCAGTAGTGGGGGAAAATGGAGACAACTGTACTTGAACAACAATAAAAAAATGCAAAAAAAATGATAACTAAGTTATGATTACTGAGCTTTTGGAGCTCATGTCCAGAGAGAAAGAGATACATTCACGTACAGAACTATGGGCTATTACAGTACAATGTGGAAAACAAGTGTTATAATATAGGTAATAATGATTGCCATGACAGATGAGAGAATGATTAACTGCCAAGATGAGCCAGGGAAGGCTCCCCAAATAAAGTGATCTCTAATCTGGGTCTTGAAGTTTCAGTAGGAGTTTGGTAAATGAAATGAGAACATCCCAGGCAGATGCACAGATAGAGGCATGGCTGGGGAGGAGAAGGGGTCAAGAATGCCTAGAATTGTAGGATGCAAGAGTTTAAGCACTGGCTGATGAGACTGAAGAGCTGGAGCAGGTGGGGAATCACGTGTAAAAGCTTTGAAAGCCACATATGAAAAAATCATCTTCATTCTATTTTATTAAGTAGAGCCACTTAAGTTCTTTAAGCAAAGAACTGACACGATCCAACTTTTCAGATAATAACCAACATGGTGTGGAAGACAGACAGGCAAAGTCTTTCTGGTTGAAGCAGCCTAGAATGATATGTCTTTCAAAACCACAGAAAAGAGAACAGTCTCCTTCCACCCCAGTTATTCTTAGTTCAAATAGAAGATCATTTAGTTGTTGCTAGGTGGCCCATGAGGGTCTGAGAAAGACAAATACAGTGTCCTAAGCAATTCTCAGAGACATTTCAAGGAAAAGTGTGGTAAGTATGGTAGAGTCCCTGCTTTATAGCCCTGAGCCCCAGGAAGGGCTGTGACCCACCAAGCCTCCACCATGCTGTTTATGGCATGGAGACACAGTCCCCCCATACTCTGTGCCAAGCATGTTTCAGTGCCAAGTCCCCAACTAGAATATCTACCCTTTCCACTTTTCTAAAACCATTTGCTAAGTGTTTAAAATTTTATCTTTGGGAAACTTTGCCCTTGTGATAAACCATTCACTATCTGACCTATCTGGTCTAAACACACATTTGTCTATATTTGATAGCTTCATCATAGTGGAAAAGGTGGGAAATCTTAAACTGTAAGGAAATGTAAAATAGAAAATTTATTATAAGTGAAAGTTTCCAGAATTATTCTGTGTGTACCCATGAGCTTTACTGGATACTCCATGAAGGTAGCTCCTATCACTAGTCTCAGACCATCTGGTTATCATGGTTTCAGGAGACAGAGTTCCAATGGAAACTGTGATGCTTCCAGCAGACCTAGAGAGTCAGATGCCTGCAGAATGGGTTTTGCACATCTGCACCCATAAAAAGTGGAAACCAGCAGACACTTTCCTTCTCTCAACTGCACAGGCCAGCAGGGAGGCTTGCGACTGGTATGGGGGCAGCTGATTCATGAGCACCACACAGGGCAATCACCAAGTTAAATAGCAGTTACTTCTCTTCAGGACACAAGGAGAACAACCCTCCCGCTCAGGCCTGAGAACACACGAGTGTGCAGAGGCACAAAGGGAGAGCCCACAGCCAAAGCCCTTGGGGAGGAAAATGAAGGCCATAATGGGCCAGTGCCCTCAGTGTGGGTGCACAGGGCGGCCCTTTAATAACACACCAAATGGTAGCCTTGTGTGGATAGACCACCCAAGTGTATCCAACAACAGGTACCATGTACTCAGAAAGCTGCTAACATACCAAGCCCCTTATTTTCAGCCCAGGGTGTACTTGAGACAACCTTTCACAAATCAGAAGGCAAATGTGAAGAAATAATATTTCCATAGGGATACTGGTTTCTGCTCCCATTTAAGACTGCCTCCAAATTAAGGAAACATAAGAAAGAACTGTGGATTCTAAAGATTTAGAAAAATGAAAAGGTACATGAGAACTTTGAGTATGGTTCAGAATGGGATTGAGGGAAAGACAGAAAGTTTTAAGTAGTTCTCTTACCTTTTTGTCACTCAGGCCGGAAACCTGGTCCACATACTCCTCTTGGATCATGAAGGCAGCTAAGTTGGCAGTGTAGCTGGCCAGGAAGATGACAGCAAAGAAGGCCCACACTGACACCATGATCTTGGAGGTGGTCCCCTTTGGGTTCTGCACGGGTACGGAGTTGTTAAACACCAGACCCCAGAGTAACCAAATAGCTTTGCCGATGGTAAAAGATGGGCCACCGGGCTCTGCAATGAACAAAAGACAAAGACAGAAAATTAAGACAGAGTCACTTGCTCTACTGAAACTTACAAATACATAGAACTGGTAAGTTCCTGCTCAGAGGAGGAAATCCTCCAAATAAAACCTAGCCCTTTCACAGAAAGCTTTACAGTTGAGAGCTTGTGTCTCTCTTCTCCTGGGACCCCCAGGGAGACATAAGAAAGTTCCTTAAGGGAAAAACCAGAGGCCTGAGGTATGTGTGGAATCTTGCTCCACTACTGGGCACAACTCAGTGAAGGCACTGGAGTGGCCCACTTTCTGCCCCCAAATCTAGACCCCCAAGATCATATCAAATCAGAATAACAAAGGCAACTACCCCATTATAGCCACACACACATATCCCTATTCCCACTGTTCCTAAAATTTATATTTTTATCTACCAAGAAAGTATTTCCACTTCAAATAATATCAACAAGAACTGTATGGGGTCTTTTTCTACCATTGGCATAGACCTCCTCCAATTTTATTCACACTGATGCTGAATGGCTTTCAATTATTTTATCCTGTTTTTTTCTTTAGCTTCTAGCATTTAGCACTGAATATTTCAAGGACAACTGTGACCACACTCCAATGCCAACACTTCCCACATGGTTTCCTATAGTAGCAGGAAGTCCAGATAGGTGGTCATAAACCCTTGGCTTTGTCACAGTATCTGTGGGCAGTGAGGAAGGCTGTCTTTGACCTTCCATGCTGGATATTTAGAATGTCCATGCTGGATACTTAGAATGTCTGGACACAGCCTTACATAGACAGTGTCAAGACTGCTGCTGATAATTTTCTTATGACCTTACTGCTTTCTCTGCTGGGCGATGATGAAATCTTGCCTGATGTCTAGGTCTGCGTGTGGCCCCTCCACTGCAGAAATGAACATCTGCCTGCACAGTTTTACAACACATTAGCACAGGTCTTACGGCACTATCTGTGATCCTGATAGCATCTGCTCAGCCAACTAAATCACCAGTGACTACACATGTCGAGCCTGATATCTGACTGTGCACACACATCTGTGCACGTGGACCTTATTTCGTAGAACAGATGTGTAACTAAAAAGATGTTTATAAATCAAAGTTTTATACATTGTAAAATGCCTCAAGGAGACTTGATATTTAAAGAGGGCCCATGTCGAATTCCCTTGTGAAGACAAGCATCATTTGGTAAAGTGAATAATTATAAAGTAAGCCCTTGCTCTGAATTTTGTCTCTGAAATTTGCCCTCTTGATTTTCTTCGAGTATAGTGGAGGGAGCACACTAACTTTAGTTCTTGACACTGCCAACATATGTAGGTACTCGTGTGTTTCTCAGATATTTCATTTATTACTGGTGCCCATCAGGACAGGGAGCAGGTCATGACTTTTGGATGACCCTTTGGCACAGGTGGAAAGCCCCAACTATACCGTATTGTGGAAACATCCCAACTTCCACCCAGAATTCACATACCAAATAAGAAGGTAGGTCGGCACCTGGAAATGCTTCAGTGTAATGGTTGTTCACAGCATGGACTGTGAAGTCAACGGAAGCACTAGGGGAGCCTTTACAAAATACAGCAGCCTGGAGCCCATCTCTAGATACTCTTTCTAAATTGGTGTGGGGTCAGTGGTTATTCTAATATGCAACCAAGGAAGAGATCCACTATTTTGAAATATACAATGGTCCAAGCTCTACTCTGGGCTTAGTGAATCAGAATATTCAAAAGTGAGGTCCATGTACTTTTGTTTTTTAAGTGTCTCACAGATAATTCTTATGTGTTGTCAAGGTTGAGTCTAAGACTCTTTCATCTTGAAGGCATAATTCCAGGATAAAGCTCACATTCTAGATTGGAGAAGACTCAGAAAAGGGATAATATTTTCTAACCCTGGGGTTCTCAGGAAGTTTTAGAAGAGCTATTTGTAGGGATCCCATGCCCCTGTCATAAAGCTAGTAAACTTTTTGTGAAGTCTCGTAAATGCCTCAGACACATGGGCAGCCCTCATGCTTCTGGTCCTACTATCCAGGACATTGGCCTGCCCTCAGTAGTGGCTGTGGGTGAGAACTGTTCTCTCCTGACCATTGTATTCTAAATATCCAACTCCTATACTCCCTGGCAGAGGATTAGAGCTAGACACATGCTTTGGAAATGTAGCTCAGTGGTGATCCTTTAGCTATGGGGATCTCTCTTTTTTTTTTCTTTTTTAAAATTTTTAAAATACAGGGTCTGGCAGGAGTAATGCCTGCCTGAGCATGGTTAGTAGGGTAATAATATGGGTATAATAATTTATAGTTTTAATTTGAACATTTCATCCAAAATGTCATATGGTGTGCTTGAGTATGACATTGTTATATTACAGGATTACATGCTTATGATTTTGTAATAAAAGATTTTGTAATAAAAAGAGGGTGTTATTTGTGCCAGACCCTGTACATTTATTGATGAGAGAGAGAGAGAGAGAGAGAGAGAGAGAGAGAGAGAGAGAGAGAAACATTGATTGGTTGTCTCCCATATGCACCCTGACAGGGGATCAAACCTGCAACCTAGGTCTGTGCTCTGACCAGGAATTGAATCCCCAACTTTTTGGTGTATGGGTTGGTAGTCCAATCAACTGAGCACCAGCCAGGGAAAACTCTTTTAGCTACCACTAACCTGCTATATCCTGGGGCAGCCTATTTTTCCTTATTCTTAATATAGGGGTATAGTCTGACTTGTTAGTCCATCTGGTCAGACAGACTGCTCTTAGCCTAAGGTTATCAATCAGTTTCCTCTTACATGTCTATGCTATTTTACTTGCATCTCTTGCCAGCTTTGCTCTCATCTTCCTAGGGGCGGAACTGGGTTTGGGGCCAGACTTGAGCGAGGGAGGGGACGTAGAGATTCCAACTAATATCTTCATTGGGGTATTTTTAGTGAGTGATCAAGCTGGTGACATAGAAAGCTGAGGGTTTGTTTCCAGAAATGGGTAAATTAAGGAGAAGGCAGATGGCAAATGAAGGGTACAGACTGAGAACTAGAAAAATACCGAAATGAAATGGTTGTGATGGCCTTACCTCTACCATCCGCGAGGCACCTGTTATAACCCACAGGGCTGAAGTACTCAAAGACAAAGACGGCCACAGCCGAGACAATGAGCAGCATCACAAACATCATAACCCAGACATCAGCACTGAAGGGCTCTGGGGAAGGAAGAAAAAATCAGTGCTCAAGGTTAAAACAGAGAACAAAGGGATTCTAATTAATTTACATATTTATTTATTCATGCAACATATATTTTTGGGGAAACAAACTACAGGCATGGATCTCCCTTCAGATAGCCAGAGCCTGGGTTGGGGAGGAGTAAGGGGCTCTGCCTGACCACCTCCATGTCCTTAGTGGGCATGTCAAGGATGATTTCTTTTCAAATACGTGAAAAAGACTGCTTCTTGCTTGTCAACTTTTGAGATTTGCCATTGGAACAATATCTGGGTCTTTTGGTAAGTGGTACAATGGGAAGAAGCATTAGCTATGGAGTCAATGGATCATATTGGACTGATTCTTGGTTTATGGTCTCCTCTGCAGACCTGGAAGAGCTTTCGCCAATGCTTCCAAGCCTTACAGCCAAATTCATTCTCAGCAGCACTTTGTTATGATTTCAGACTTGTATTGGTTCTGTAATAATTACATACAATGAATATCTCCCTTCCATCACTTCTTTTAAACTTTTCTAGATTTACTTTTTTGACCTACTTTGATGTATATATTTTATTAAACATCATTAGGGTATAAGAATTTAAGCCAGTCTTAAAAAAATACATCCACATGGAATATCAGTACCTGCAATGGTGGGAATTTAGCAGATGACAAGGAAACACGCCACAGCTATAAGTAACCAAGCAACTACAACCTAGTCTCTATCAGTGTGTCACATGGTAGATGGGACAAGATCAGGCAAGGGAAAAATGTTCCACAATGCTTTCTTTAATTTCTTTAATCATTTTTGCTGAAACTCTTCCAGGTGATCTAAATCTCTCTGGCTGAGAGGTATCCAGAAATTGAACACTATATTCCAGGAGCCATCTCTCTATAAAAAGGGACAATTGCTATTCTGCCCCATGATACAATGCTCCCTCAATTGCATCTCAAAATAGTTCTGGTCTTTTTTAGCTATCACATCACATTGTAAAATCATAATTAATGAATTAATATGCTTTCTCCACTTTCTAAATCATTAATAAAGATGAAGTTGAAAAAGAGAAAAATGGCTGAAAATTAGAAAATATTTTCTTATTTGAAATCTTGTGAACTCCCAGGGGAATTATATAAGCCTGGTCACTTAATCAATTTAAAAGACCTTTGATAAGGTGCACACCAACTGTGAAATGCAAAACCTTTCAGTGGCAGCCAGAGATGGTGGGGGATGGGGGTGGGGGGGCAGGTGGAAGGCACAGTTCAGAGCCTCTATGCAGTAGAGTGGAGAACACCTCTCCCTGCTGGCTCTAATTGACTGCAATCCTACCCTAATTTCACTTTTGTTTAAGATTGGGGAATAGGTGAGTAAAAGTATTTTCTCTATGCTTTCTTCCCCCCATTAAGCCTAGGGAAAACTGTATACAAAAAAACTCCACATTTGCATTGGTCTTTACGAGTCAGAAAGTGCTTTCTCCACATATCTTACACAATCCTGGTAATGGCTCTTCTTTATTTAACAGAGCAGTAAACTGAGACTCAAGAGGTCAAGGTCCTTTCCAAGTTCATACTCAGAAAGTGGCAAGGCCAGGTTATGAAGAGGTCCATTGAGGGCAAGAGCCTGTGCTTTGTCTTTGTATCCTCTCACATCTTGGTTGCTGACCACCGCATTTCAGAGCTCAGACTGTGTATTAGAGCACAGGCTCTGAAGGCAGCCATGCCTGGGCTTTCATCCTGGATCTGCCTGGTACTAGTTGAGAGACTGGTGGAAAATTGCTTAACCTGAGGTTCAGTTCTTAACCCATAAAATGGGTATAATTATAATATCAATGAGATCACACAGTCAAAATTTGTACAGTAACGCCTGACACATCACATAGTAGGTGTTCAATAAATACTGTCTTCTTTCACCTCTGTAATTAACTAACTGCTCGTCCTACACACACACACACACACACGCACGCACGCATGCATGCACGCATGCACACACGTACGCACGCACCCCTCCCTGCCTGGCATTTCATTCTAGAGCTATCCCAATGTATCACTGGCTCTTCCAGTTCAGAAGCTAAGGTTAGATCTCTGCCAATAGGGTTAGAATTAGATTGCAGTTTTATTTCTACATCTTAATATTCCAATCATCCCTGTAAAGGAAAATGCTAATAAAGTAAATAAAGCTGCTATGAGGATTAATGCATATGTAGAGTGTGTGCTATCTAATAACATTTCATATAGAATTAGCAGAGCTGGAATTTGCTTCACTATGAGAAAGAAGTTTGGCTGAGAGACCTGAGTAGTTCAAAGAAAAATTCTTCAGAACCCCTAACACCACTTTGTAGTCCATTAATTGAAATTTCACCCCACTTCCCACCAAACCCGGGATAGAGTTTAAAGAAATGTTAGTCACTGTCTATTCCAATATCCTCACCCAAAAAAAAAAAAAATTGATGTCTTTTAAAGAAATTGTGACTTGTCCAAGGGCTTACAGCTTGTTTATGTCCAAAACAGGCTTCCTGTCTCCTAGCCCCATGCTGTTTCCAAGATGACATTTTATTTCCCAACCTCTTTATCTCACAGCCCCTGAAAAAAATATGGGATCTGAGCTCACAAAAGAGTTATCTAATCAAAATCTTGGCCTTCTCTCACCCAGCCTTACACCGTACCTAAGGCTTTTGACACCTAAGCAATGCTGGAGAGGGGAAGCACTGAGTGGCATGGGACAGGATGGAGTGGGATGGGGAGAAGAACCGGGTCTGCTTTATCTGGCAAAGCCCCAGGAAATTCTTGTGAATACAGAAAACCCTTTTAGGTAGCACTGAGCTCAATTCTTGAAGAAAATTTAAAATCATAGGTATTTCAATGATATTAGCAATTAGAAATTACTAAAGCAGGAAGCAGCTTCAAAGATGAGATTGTTGAAATGTCTTCTATGGCTGAGGAAACTGAGTCCCAGGATAAAGCAGGAATGGGACTGAAGTCCGTAACTGTTTCTTACAAGGCATCCTGTCTTTTTACTGGGGGGCAGGGAGGGTGGTGTTCTTCAGTTCTCATGTTGGGGAATGATAAATTTTGAGGCCCCCCAAATGAAATCCCGGCTGAGCTACGCTTGCAGCAAACCGCCTCCTGGCTGAAAGAGCCTGGCCACGTGCTCCTTCACTGGGCTTCATTCTGTCTCCCTGCCCTTATGTCCACTGCCTTCCCACCTGCAAGCACATCACATACCTAAGAAGGCAGAAGGTGAGACAGTCCCGTTGCTGCGTGACACCATGACACTGATGCCAGTCTCTATGAAGGGCACAGAGAAGTCGACCACTTCAGATCGCTCCTCGTTGATGGTGAGTGACCCCACCGCCATGTAGGCCCTCTTCATGACCACCTGGGAAGAAAGGCACAATGCTCTAATTAGAACATTCAGGAATATTTATTTATTTTTAGAGAGTGGGGAAGGGAGGGAGAAAGAGATGGATAGAAACATTGATGTGTGAGATAAACACCAATCGCTTGCCTTGCTCATGGCCCCCAACTGGGGACCAGGCAAGTGCCCAGACCAGGAACCAAACTGGTGACCTTTCGGTCCATGGAGCAATGCACAACTCACTGAGCTACACCAGTCAGGGTTAGCGGGTGGAGGAACTGACCAAAAAAGAAAAAGGACTCATGGATAGGGACGACAGTGTGCTGATTGCTGGGGGGTGGGGGATATAACGGGACTAAATGGCAATGGAAAAAACATAATAAAGATTTTTTAAAAATCATGAAGGCGAGGGGCTTCCACAAGTCAATTAACTCACAGACATAGAGTGGTTTTCTAGGTACAGTGGGAACAGTACATTCTATTTACTATTTTGTATTTTCTAAGATTTATAAAATGAGTGTTTTTGATATCTAAATGAAACAAAATAAGTGAAAAATGGAAATGGCCCTTAATTCCTGACACTCACCTCTCCGATCATACCATTCCAGGTTCCATTGATTTTCTTTCCATGCTTGCCATTGGTAACCAGGTAAAGATCATAGGTGAACTTCACAGATTTGGAAATTTTCTTAAGGATGTCAATACAGAACCCCTTGCAGCATTTTTTGATATAACCAGGCTCCTCATCTGTTTTATTCCTAAGCAGTTAAAGAAACAATAAACAAACAAACAAAAAATAAGGCTTTATATAAGAAGCAAATTACTACCTTTTACCATTAAAACTCCAAACCCATTCACAGCTCAGCACAATTTATATCAGACCTAAGTAAGGGAATAAATCAGACTACAGAACTGCAGCTCTCATTAGCTCATTGCAGTAAACCAGGTTTTCTCACCATTTTTCATGCTCCTTTGAAGTACAATATACATCAGGAAAGTGCACATATCCTAAGGGTTCAGTTGGAAGAATTTTTACACACTGAACCCACACATTTAACCAGCACTCAAATCCAGATACAGAAAAGCTACCAACACCTTAGAGGCCTCTCATTCTCCCTTTTAGGCACTTTCAACCTTCACCAAAGAGAGCTGTTATCCTGACTCAAGATGTTTCTAAATCTCAAAATTTCAGGACATGCTGGCCCCCCAAAATATATTTCAACACCAATGTAAACTTGAACCTCCATAATCTAGAAGTCCTAGTCACTGAGAACAGGCCAGGCCAAAGGAATATTAGTATAATTAGCAGAAAGTCTCCCAGGACATGATCTGGACAGAACCAGACATCAGACAACAGGGCTGCCAGTAATTCCACTGCTCAATGGCAACTGAAAATCAGACACAGTGCTCAATTCATTCTATGCTTTAGGTCCCAGGCCAGCCAGGTGTTAATAGCTGGGTCAAATCTGACTATCCTATGCCACCCGAAGCCACTGGGGAAGGTGCCATACTCAGAGACTATGCGTTTTTGGCAGGGGACTGTGTTCCTCATGCAGGTTCCACTCAGAGGGTCCACACTTTCCACAATAACAAATGGAGCCTCCTCCAGCGTTACAATGCTCAGGTGGTCATCCTCCTGCTCTTCTGTCTCAGGACACATTCGGGGCCACAGGTAGTACTTCATCTGCAGGGACTTGTCTTTCCACTTCCCCACCTGCACAGGGATTTAAAAAAAAAGACTCAGGAACTTTTGGTGAAGACATAGCAGCCTCTTCTTAAAGGCCAGCATATGCAGGTATTGTTCATAATAGAATCATTTTTAAACCATATGCTCGAAATGAGGCCACTGTGTCCAAATCTAAGAAAGGAAATCTGTTCATCACTTATTTACCAAACATTAAAAGAGGACCTACTATGTGCCAGGCACCTGCTAAGACCTATGGCTCAAAGAAGGCTCATTCTGACTGTCATCGAGCTCACACTGAGTGACGGAGTCAGAAATGTAAACAACTGTTTACTGTGCTGTGCGGTAAGTGCCAAAACTGAAGCCTGCACCAAGTGCTGGGGAGATGCCAGGGTTTCCTGCCTTGTGTGGCTGTTGGTTTTTTCTATTTAACTATAAGAAGAAGCATGATAGTTAGAGCAGCAAACAGCTTTGAAAAGGTCACAGGATGACTGAAACAAATGAGCCAGAAGGATGTGTTTTGACCTGTAACAGAGGTCCAGTGGGAAGCTATGTGGAGAGCTGGGTAGATCTAAACTGGAATAAAATGGTAAGTCAGGATTAAAGAATACTGACCCAGCTTGGCTGGGGAAGGGAGTATGGTTGGGCTGCTGATGAATGACACAAGTCAATGCAGATATGCACCTGCTGGGATGGGTGAAAGCCCCAGGTCTCACTGTGAGCTGCCACCTATGGCCACACAGACTGTGCCCTGTGACTTCAAGGAGCACCGTTCACACATGCTCCAATGTGAAAGGGGGATGCCCCCTGTAATTATGCTCATGGTGGTCCTGCTGCCAATCATCAGGAGAAATGTGTGGGTTCCACTGTCTTTTAGAAGAACCATTCATTCCTGTCTTTATAGTAGAATTTGCATGACTTTGTTGGTGGGTTCTCATTCTCACTCTGTCATTAAATTTATTGAAGAAAGAGGGAACACCTTTTAATTTTCTATAACTGAACATCTTCAATTATCACAGGGAATTATGGATTGCAAGCTCTTGCATTTTCCCAGTCTATAATTTCCTCCATGCAGCGATGCAAATTAGGTGCGCAGGTGTGGTATTAGGACTACAAAACTACTTAATGTATTAACTCAGTGAAATGTATTAAATCAACAAGGAGCAAAAAATGGACAGAACTTCATAAATTTTCTAGCAGGCTTAGATTAATGGGCTTAAATTTCTATATTCACACAAAACCAAAATTCCCTCCTTTCTTTCTGCTTTGTCTATACTTAGGTTCTACCCAGTGCCTCTGTAGGTGTGGTTTGTACCTCCATCCAACCTGCCTAGCAGGTGCTGTCTAATTTCAGGCCCAATTTGGTCCACACAGCCACTGCCCTTGTTTTATTGCGTCACCATAACACAGGCAGTGGCTTCAGGTCCTGGGCCATCTTGTTTGGAATTAGCCCTGATGCTAGTTAGTTTTCTTGCAAGTGTGTAAACCATATATCACTTCCGTGTTCAGAATTATACAGAGAATCAAACGTTTGCTTTCTATATATAGTCTTTTCCATACTGTTGGCCCTCACTTTAGTGCAAGTCTGTTTTCCTCTTATTGCTAATACTACTTATTTCTAAAGCAGAAACGTTCAGATAGCTCTCCAGCGATGTGGAGATACCAATGTCTTCGGCCTGTGGTTAAGGGGAGTCGGGGCGTGGGGAAGAGAAGACACTACCCCGGGGAGCCATGATATTGGTCATCTCCATCTCCAAGCAGCCCTATTGGCCACAATGGCCAAACTAATACTCTTTTCTGCATATTCAATGATGTGAAAAATGTTGGGAAGCCCTAAAGTACCTAGTATTTATTTATCTCACTGATATCTTATTCCGACAATAGTCCCTTTGGATTTTTTCCCTTTTAAAATCTAAATTTATTCTCTTCCACCTTTGTTGCTCCTAGCCTAGCCCAGTAGCCCAGCAGCCCATTCTGGGATTATTGCAGGCAACTTCCAACCTCACATAAGGTTCTTCCTAAAGGAACTGCTGCCAGATGGCTCTTCTTAAAACATCACTACATCATACGATACCTACTCAAAAATTTCAATAACCTTCCATCTCCCTCAGGATTGTGTCCAAACTTTGCATCTAGGTCTGTGCATTGAGCCTCATCTACCTTGATACAGTTAACTTCATCATTTTGAAAAGTGAATCCTTTGTTCAAGTTGGAAAAAGTTGCTGGTATCGGGAGCTAACACAGGTTAACCAGGAACAGGTTTCAATAAGCTGGTTGCATTTTTTTTTCCTGATAGACTTCCTCTATCTGTGAAACAAAAATGCTGCAGACATAGCGTTTTGGCAAAGTTTTTCATGACACCCTTATGAACAAGATGAAATATAACATAGATTATTATATACTTTGCTAGATTTGCAAGGAGTATAAAATCCTATTTTTAAAAAATGTCTTTTTGATGAATCAATGCCAACATTGAAAAAGATCTCTAGTGACACATCCGGGAACTCTGTTCTTAGAAGTGGCCTGTACAGTGTTTCAGAAAACAAAATAGAGGTCATGATCATACACCTGCAGACACAAAGCTATACAGAATAGAAGATACACTGCATTGTGGAAAGAAGGTTGGAAGCAATATGATTTAATTGGCATAACAGAGTAAACCAATTGGTATATGGAATGAAATTTAACAGTATTTATACTTAAAGTCTAGCATTTAGATTTTAAAAAAGCAACTGCACAGTACTGAAGAGAAGATGCTGGAATTTATAGCAGACTATACAAGGTATTGCAATAACAAATGGTATATTTCTAGACTTACAGCGTCAAGCACATGGGATGAGGGGAAGGCATAGGTGGCCCCACTCTGTTCTGTGTTCCTCATACTTCACCTGGAACACTAGATTCTGATCCTATAATCCTATGATCAACTGACCCTTATTTACTATATCATTCTCAATAGCCCAACAATAATCTATCTGTTCATGCAGTCCCCTCTAGAACACTTTTCCCTAACTTCCTGTCAAGCTAGCTGGATCACGCTCTTGTTTCACTTTAATGCGATTCAGCCAACAACAACTGCACACCAAATCTGTGCCAGGCACACTGGTTATATACTAGAGATAGCAATACCAGGTATCGTTAACAGAGGGTTAGTATGTGCTGGTCACTGAACACACCTAGTAATCTCATTAATCATCACAGCAGACTTGCGACATGCAGATTACTGTTTCATTTCTCATTTTACAGAGCAGAACAGAGGGGTTTGATGATTTACTCACAGTCTTGAGATGAGTGAGCATAGTGTCAGGAATTTGAAGCTGAACAGACTGGTTCCCGAGCTTGGGCTCCTACCTACCACACAGTATTGCTTATCTGGCAATGAAATGCTAAGAGTCCTTGTCCTCCAAGGACAGTCTAGTGGAGCAAGACACTATCTATTGACAATAATATCAAGTTAGGCTTTGGTAATTACCCTAATAAAAGGTATAATTAAAGTACTCTAAGATTCAGAGTGGAAGTGATTATTTCAGAAAGGGTCAGAGCTAAGCTTGATGAAGATCCTTATCTTTGAGCTGGGCCTTGAAATATAAATAACAGCTCATCAGGTGAAGAGTACTTTATCCACAGAGGAAAAGGCAATAGCAAAGTTGCAGTCCTACAGCTGCTTGATGCAGACCAAGGACATTCCTTCACAGCTGAAAGGAATATGTGAGGAGAAATGGTCTAGCTCAGTTCTCCTCATTAAGGACCTGATCACTCTAGCCGGACAATCTCTATCATTCTCAAGAGCCAATTGGATTGTACTCATCTCTTCCCAGCTTTTTGGCATCAGGTTGGTAGCTTGAAATTTGCCCTGGGCACCGTGAAACTGGCAAACAGAACAAATCAGGGCTTCTCTCTCCACCCCTGCCTCCAGTTGTTAAACATTCACCAGCTCCTCTCTATCCAGAGTAATCAAGTCATTCATTATTTCATGATATTTACTACCTTATTTGGTGACTTTTTAACTTTCAGGTGTCTTGTCTCCTAAACTAAATTCTAAACATAACCCTAAGTGTTTCTGTGATCATGGACACATTTCTCTTAATAACACTTTCTGAGCCTCTGCTTCCACATCTGTAAACTAAGGGAAGGAGTTGAGTTCTCAGGTGTCTTCTACATAATCTCATGATCCCAGGATCTCTTTGGGACAGAGACTTTCTACTACACTCCATCTGATTAGAGCCAGTATAAAGAAAGATGTTCTTAGCAGGTAATTCCAGAAGGGAGGGAAGTGTCGGTTTTTTTTTTTTTTAATACAAACGGCTAGCTTGTTGTAAGTCATGACTCTTTGTTGTTGTTTCTTCATGGATTATTGCAGTGAGAAGACTAGTTAACAAACTCCTTGAAAATTAAAAGGAGAAACAATTTTGAAGAAAATCTGCTATGAATATCAGATTCACAATGCCAACACACAGTGCTCATGTTAAAGAACATGTTTAGCTATCTCAAATTAGTTATCTCAACTTTTTTATGGAGCAAGACAGTTAGAAATAAAAGAACAACTAAAATGAAATAAAATAGGGACTATTTATGTAAAAGAATAAGATATATTTTAAGCAATTATTTATTTAAGGGGGAGGGAGTATAGTGAAAATATTATAAGTGAGAAAGTTTTTAAGAGTGATGAAGAATAGGAATTAGAAAAGGGGGAGACTAAGACACAAAGAAAGAATCATGAATGCTTTTCGAGGATATCTGAGCTCGTGTGAGTATGTAATACTGGGAATGCAGAGAGTAGTAGGAAATGAGGTTAACAGGAGATCTTTCAGGGAAAATTCAATGAGAAAAACTGAATGAAAAAGTTATAGCCACAATTAAAATATGATCAGGAAAAAGAAAACCTTAAGAAATAACGAAGAAAGTGGCTGTAAAGTGCTCTGAATTCCTTAGAGATAAGCACTAAACAAACATCATTACCATAAGCACATTTAACAACAACATCTGTCTATAAAAAATGCAGTTATCTGTCATACTAACATTTAAAAAGA